CACGGCAGCGATGCAAGTCTTGAAAGGATTTCGACATGCGCGCGCGGCCGAAGCGCTCGAGTGGCCGGCATAGAATTACTCGACAGGGATCGTACCCCCCCCCCAGCACTCGCGCACGGGCGTTCGAATGGCTTCGACTTGCGCGCGCGAGAGGCCCATTTGGTCGAGAGTGCTGAGCATGTTGAAGAAAATCCGCCGACCCTGTCGGCGTGTGGAATGGGTTGTTCTTCTCGTCCGTGCCTCCTTCCCTTTCCCACCTTCTCCGTCTCCTTCTCGTTCGTCTTCCCCTCCTCCTCCTCCTCCTCCTTCTCCTCCTCCTCCTCCTACTCCTCCTCCTTCATCTCTCCCTCCTGCGTAAAGTAGTTCCCTTCCCCGGCGGGGGGGGGTCCCGGGGGAAGCCCGGGGGGGGGTCCTGGGGGGGGTCCGGGGGGAGGGTTCTGGGGGGGGTCCCAGGTCAGAATACCACCTCCCTCCTCCTCCTCTTAAGCGTCTTTTGCCACCTTCTCCATCTCCTTTTCGTTTGTCTCCCCCTCCTCCTCCCCCTCCTCCTCCTCCTCCTCCTCTTCCTCCTCCTCCTCCTCACACACTTCCTCCGCCCACCCTGTCACGTTGTCCTTTAGCTCCTTCCTGTGATCACACATCCCGTCGCCATCGACGGCCAAAACCTTCAGGGTCGGCGGCACCGGCCGTAAGGCCTTCACAATATGGTTTTCTGACGGATTCACGAGGACGCGCGCGAAGACCTGTCTTCGAAAACTGAGAGTGCGATGCCATGCGTTTTTACACGTCGGGGCTCCCGATGTTGAAATCCTTACGAAGACCCAGATGTTCGAAGGATTTCGGTATGCACGCGCGACAACGCGCTCGCGTGTACTTCCTTCCATCTGCTGCTATGAACGGTTGAAAGCTGATGATTTGTCATAAGCGGATGCGCGCGCATGAACGTTTTGCAACGGATAGCGGCGGGAGGGGTCGATACCGCTTGGTCTGGAATGGTATACATTCAGACTTACAATGGGCGCTGGGGCAGAATAGTACGTAAACTAAAATCCAGACAGGTGGGCGGAAAATCCCGGGGGGGGGGGGAATGGTAGATCCTAAATTTTTGAAATTACTTTCTGTTCGCAGTGAGTTGTCCACTCCACTGCTCGCGCAAACATCCCACCCACCCACCCCACAACTTGGTTTGCAAAATCTCTTAAGACCGTGACGGTGGGTACCACATGGCACTTGGCAACAACAGCGACGCCGACGACGACAGCGACAACGACGATGACGACGCCGCCGACAACGACTACGACGACACCGACGACGTCTCCAGCGACTTCGACGACGCCGACAACGACGACGATGACGACACCGCCGACGACGACGACGACACCGACGCCGACGACGACGATGACAACGACGACGGCCATGACGACGCCGACGACGACGATAACGACGACACCGACGACGACGACCACGTCAACGACGCCGACAACGATGACGACGACGACGGCGGCGACGACGACGACGCCGACGTCGACGACGACGAAGACGACAACGACGCCGACGCCGACGCCGACGACGAAGACGACGACGACGTCGCCAACGAAGACAACGAGGAAGAAGGGAGGACGACGACGGCGACAACGACGACAACGACGAGGGAGGAGGGAGGACGGCGACGAGGCGAACGACGAAGAAGGAGGAAGGACGGCGACGCCGACGACGGCAACGACGAGAGAGGAGGGAAGACGACGACGACGACGACGACGACGACGACGACGCGACGAAATAGGAGGGACGACGACGAGACGCCGACGACGGACGACGACGACGACGAGGGAGGAGGAGGAAGGACGACCACGGCGACAACGACGACGGAAACGACCACGACGCCAAAGAGGACGACGACGACGAACACGAGAAAAGACAGAGGACGACGTAGGCGACGACGACGACGACGCGGGAGGGAGGACGGCGACGACGACGACGACGACGACGACGACGCAAGAGCGCGCGCGCACGCTTTTGTTGAAAATCAGTGTTGCGAAACCTTAGGTTTTGGTATGTTTTTTGGACGCACGAGTTTGAAATCCTTCCGAAACCGATGGGTTTTGAAGGTTTTCGGCGTACGCCCGCGACGACGCGCGCGTCTGCACTTCGTTTCATTTTTTGCAGAGGATTCTCGCGACGGCACACGCGCAAGGGCGTTCGACAGATTTCGACATGCGCGCGCGAAGCCCGTTTGGTAGCATTTTGTGAAAATCTTGAAACACATATCGTATTCTTAAGATTTCGCAAGAGCTCGCGAGGAAGCTTTTTTAGCAAATCAGTGTTGCGAAACCCTGTGTTTTTGTATGTGTTTGTTGGGAAGCTCGATTGCGAAATCCTTCCGGCACCGAAGGTTTTTGAAGGATTTCGGCATGCGCGCGCGACGACGCGCGCGTGTGCACTTCGTCTCATTTTTGTTGCAAAGGATTCCCACAAAAAGTGCTACTAGAACAAAGAATGTCACCGCATAGTGTTTTTTACAAGGGAACCTCAGGGGGGGGGAACCCGGCCTGGCTGGGATGGTATGATTTCATATTTAGGATGGACGAGTGGCCAGAAACATATTTGATTTACATACCCGAACGGCGAACCGATAAGTCCGGGGGGGGGTAGAGTCTATTCTCCTTTTAGAAACGAGAATGAAGGAGACTCTATGAATGTGGTGCAGTCTGCGAAACCCGCACAATCAAAATTGCGGTGCAATCTACCTGGTGAAATCAGCGGGGTGCAATATCTGCGTGGTGCAGTCTACGTCGTGCAGCCTACGTGGTGTAATCTATGAGGGGCTTCCTGCGTCGTGCAATCTGCGTGGCGCAATGCATGTTGCGACGGGCGGTGACGAGGCGGCGACGGCAGACACAAGGCGGCGGAACCGACAGTCGGGTCCAAGCACCGGGCGGCGACGGGCGGCGACGAGGCGGCGACGGCGGCCTCAAGGCGGCGGAACCGACAGTGAGGCCAAGACGAGGGCCGTCAACGCGACGGGCAGCGACGGGGTAGCGACGGCGGCCACGAGGGGGCGGATCCAATAGTCAGACCCAGTTCTGGACAGCGAAGTTGGCATCTCTGAGTGCAAACACTGTTTGAGGAATAAACTTTCGGATGTCCACGCGGATTGCCTATGTGCTGGGCAACCCTCCCTGGCGCGCAGAACGCGCCCAGGGCGGCGCCTGGAGAGCCGCCAGGGGGCCAATCCCAGAACTCCGCGCCGACCTCCGCGAGTTCATGCTTACGCCGTGCTTCCCCACTCGACATGCTGGGGTTGCCAGGCTGAGCTCCCGACCCGACCCGCACGCCCGAGGCACAAAAGTGTGCTGCTGCTGCCTGCACATCCTGCCTCGCATTTGCGACGAATCACGGTGGCATACCGCGGCCGCCAGGCCCCGACGGCCCCAGCGTGCCTTGTGCAGCCCGCCGCGCACGATTGCATCTCGCGGCCGCCCGGCCCCAGCGGGACGTGCCCCCCCTGGGTGATTATCCTACCTCGCGTCCTCGGGCGGGGCTCGGCCGGAGCAGAGTAGCGTCTCTCTGAAAGGGGCAGGGCACCGCGGGGCAGAGCCCGGCGCCCACCCGTGCCGATGAGCCTCAGAACCTGTGTCAGCGCCAACGTGTGTTTGCGCACTGGGGCCCTTCACTACGACGAAGGCGGTGTGACGATCGACTGGTTGGGTTGAACGGGGTAACCCCAGGAAGCATTTAAGAACCCCCCCGGCGATATCGTAGCACCGCATTTTTTATTCGATATTCCGAGGGGCCGAAATAACCGAACGATAGCTGTAGCACCCGGACACAAGGAGGGCTCCTGGTGCCAGGTAACGCTTCCAGGGTGCGGAAGGGTTATCGATTTGCCGGAGGGGGGGGGGGTTCTTAAATGCTTCCTGGGGTTAACACACACATTGGGCTAACGCACGTCCTGAGGATCATCGACCATGGGACTGAGTGGGCACAGCCGCCAGACCCGGCAGAAGGGCCCAACAGGACCCAGAGCCCACCCCCCGGGTCTCCGAGGGAGCCCGCCGCCACAGGCCGAGCTCACCACAGGACCGAGCAAAGGCCGCTTCGCGCAAGCGCTCATTGCGAGAGAAGGCGGGGCAAGGGCAACCGGCACGGGCCAAAAGAACCGAATGCTGTATTTCCGGACCGCCACAATTCCGCCACCGTGTCTTGAACACGGACTGGAATGCCCTCACTCGTACGGCTGCGAGCATCGAAAACATGATCTGGAGCCAGGACACGCCTCCAAAGTACCTTGCTGGACTGTTGCTTTGCCAGTGCGTGTTGTCTTGATGTTAAACAGGTCGTTGCTTATGTCACTCTTCGTTCTCTAGCGAAGGAATGTAGCGAAGGAAGAGAGCCAACAAAACCTGGAGCCTCGAGCGTCGCACTCTGCAAACCCAATGCAGCGGGCAAGCGCAATCTGATAGGCTCTCACACAAAATCGATTGCCCTTGGGACAGGGCAACGATTCGCATGCGCAGCGCTCACACATGCATTGTGCTGGACTGTGCGGATTTGCCTCCGCTCGGAAGAGGCGCGTCGTTTGCACTGCTTGTGCTCATCCGTGGGGGATAGGACGCCGTCCTCCGGCACGCGAGGTCACAAAAAATAGTTTCGAGCCCGGCGGCTTCTCTTCACCAGCCGTCGGAGAGGGGGGCGTCATTTGGTAGCCACCAACAGACATGAATGCCCAAGATGGTCAAACAGTTGGACAAAGAGGTTCAAAGATGCACCCGCCCCGAAAAAGGACCCGAACCCCATGGACAAAAGACTGTGGTGGCGATCCGACATTCTGGCATGCTGGCCAGGACTCCATGGCCGGGACCTCAAAACTAACAGCGTTCAACCGATCCCTATCCTCGCTGGCGTGGCCTTGGCCCCACTGGCCGACTTGAGGCAGAGGGATATGCCTGCTCCGCCAGGCATCACGGGGCCTCTCTCCACCTGGGCGGGTGGGCTGGTGAGGCCCGGTCGGGGTGGGGGTAGCTTCGGCCATGCTGCCACTCGTGCTCGCTGCTGGCCTCCGTGCGCTCGTTTTGTCCACCGCGGCCTCGGCCGGTCAGGCCTCCAGCGGGCAGCTCCCCGGCCGACTGGAGCGCGGGGGCGCCGCAGCGGCCTCGCGGGGCAACCGCGCTTAACAGCGGGCACGTCAAAGCGGTGCCCCTCACTCGGCCTGTGCCGCCACCACCTCAACCTCGAGGAGCTCCGCCGCTCTCCTCGAGAGCTCCGCCGCCGCAGACTTGGCCCACCTGCGGGCTCGGCCACTTCTCGGCCCGAATCGGAGCGTGGGCCAGGTATGGGTCGAGCCAAGGAGTGCAAGAGCCTCGTGCGAGCCTCGAGACGCATCGAATCGCGAGCAGATCGGAATCGAACCCGATCGAGCCAGCCGAAAGCGGTGTCGAGAGCGACTGGTCGAACCGAATGGGGCGCTGACCTGTGGATCCCGGACAGCTCGCGGAGGCCCCTGTCCGCGAGGAAGGCCCCCACGTGCTCCATGGCCAGCGACCGAAGGTCCCTCTCCGCCAGCTTCTCGCCCGCGTGGAGGACGACAGCCTTCCATGGGAGAACAACATATCCGTACCCGCGGCCTCGCTGGCCGGGCCCCTGGGTCGCGACCCCGCGGATACGGTGGGCATTTTTTCGCGGATGCACCGCGCGCAACGCATCTGTGCGACCGCGCATCCGCGGGATCGCGGCCGGGCATGCAGACCCCGAGGGCGCGGATACGGATATGTTGGCGGGCTCGTTTTCAACCGCCACCACCATACGTAGGAGGGGGAGGTGGGCCTCCGCCTCCTCCTCCTCCTGGTCCTCCTCTGCTCCTCTGCTCCTCCTCCTCCTCCTCCTCCTCCTCCTCCTCCTCCTCCTCCTCTTCGTCCTCCTCCTCCTCCTCCTCCTCCTCCTCCTCCTCCACCTCCTCCCCCCTCCAACCAATGGTGGTGGTGGTGGTGGTGGAAAACGGGCCCACCATATGCGCGTCGCTCGTGAGCCTTCTCGATCTGCCTCCTGAGGGCCGACACGGCGGCGCCTGCCTCCCCCGCGTCCGCGAAGGGCGCCTTCGGGCGGCCGCCTGCCTCGACACCCTCCGGCTCCTGTCGCCGAGAGGGAGCGGGGCCCCGAGAAGGCGGTCGGCCGGAAAGGGAGGGGGAGGGGGGCCGGGGGAGGGAGAGGGGGGCCTCCCGCCTCCTCCGCCTCCTCCTCCTCCTCTCCTCCCCCCCCTCCTACTACTCCCCCTCCTCCCTCCTCCTCCTCCTCCTCCTCCTCCTCCTCCTCCTTCCTCCTCCTCTCCTCCCCCCCATCCTACTACTCCCCCCTACTCCTCTCCTCCTCCTCCTCCTCCTCCTCCTCCTCCTCCTCCTCCTCCTCCTCCTCCTCCTCCTCCCCCTCCTCCTCCTGCGACCCTGCCAACCGTCATCCTGCAGCCGCGAGGCGTGCTGAAGAGGGAGCGGAGGGCTCCGCGGCGAGCCTCGGCCACGAACGGGCTCCCGGGCCCAAATCTGGGGAACACGCCCCGAGGGCCCGCAATCCCCTGCTGAGGCCGACGTTGTCCTCACTTCGCGTCCTGACTCCGGGCGCGGGCGGGATCGAATGCGGGGCTTTGAGGGACCGCGGCGAGGCAGCGGCCAAGCGCACAAGGCCCGTGGCCAGAGCTGGGGGGGCCCCTGTGGGCCAGCACCAGAGGTCACTCCAGCAGAGGGTCCCTCTCGCGCTGAGCCGACACGGGACCTGTAGCTCCTACGCCGTTCTCGGCCTACCCCCTACGATTTCTGAGGGGGAGGGTGGGCTCACTTCTCGGGGGGCACGAAAGGGGGGGATAGCAACAGGCAGGGTAGAGAATCAGCTCACGTAGCTGATTTTCCCAGCGCCTCCCGGCGCCGGGAGGCTCCCATGTATCGAGGAATGGACCTGGCGGCGGGGCCGAAACCAGCTGCACGCAGCAGATCTCGTAACCCCCCCTTTCCCTATCCCCCCCTTTCGTTCGACCCGAGCTTCGCTCGGGAGCTCCCGAACGAAGTGCACCCACCCTCCCCTCAAAAATCGCGGGGGGCAGGGCTAGGGTTCGCATGTGGCCCCCCAGGCGTCCCAGGGAAACGTGACACAACTACACAGGACGAGAAGCTGGCCAAGAAAAGAACCCCAAGCTCCGATGCCGTGCCTCTTCCGCAACGCTCTGCTCCACAGCGAGGGCCCCTGGGGGTCTGGCCAACTTACCATCCCGAGCCGATCCTTGTTGACGTCCCCGGCACCTGGCAGAGGCACCGAGGTGCCGCGGACTGCCGTTTTCCTGGACCAAGAAAAATAGATTGAAGACTCTGAGGCCCAGGACCCTGGAGGAAAGACGCGTTGCTGTGCCTGTTTCCCACCACCACCACCACCATAAGTTGGAGGGGGAAGGAGGTGGGGGACGAGGAGGAGGAGGAGGAGGAGGAGGACGAGGGGAGGAGGACAAGGAGGAGGAGGAGGAGGAGGAGGAGGAGGAGGAGGACCCCCTCCCCATCCAACGTATGATGGTGGTGTTTGAAAACAAGCCCATCAACACATTGCATTAGCATTAATCATAAACGTTCGGCGGCCCGCAAAGACTCCTTGGCTCGGCGCTGGACGCCCCTCACTGGCACGTGCAGCGCGACAGGATGGGCGCCAGAGGCGACGCTAGGGGGTCCCAGCGCAGACTCGAGACATCAGCGCGGAGATCGAAAATTGTATGTTTATGTAGTTGTTTTCACTTCGAGAAAAAGCAGCCTCCAAGATGGGGTCGGAGCAGCTGGGGTCGGAGAATCACGCCGCATCGCCGATGCATCACCGATGCATCGGCGCTGCATCGGCGACTTCGGCGATGCATCGGCGCCGTCGGAGTGGAGAGCATCGGGCTCCACACCCAGCCGCACCGCCGATGCGTGGACGATGCGGCCTGTTCCCCCGACCCCATCCGGGTGGCCCAAAAATAGAGGGCAAGAAATCCACCCCGATTAATAACCACCCCGACACGGGAAGCCGTTTACTAAACGCCCTCTCTGGAGAAATCGAACAGGCCAGGGCTGTGTAGTGAACGCCCAAGGCCGTTGTGTAAACGACCAGTGTCCGGTCCGGGTGGTTTTGGGAGTCCCGGAACGGTGCGGTGACAGACCGTGCGGTGACCTCGAAACCCCCCAAGACCTCACCGCATGGTCCGTCACCGCACGGTCTTGGGACCCTGGAGGCCCCTGTCGCCCGAGACATCCTCGGAGAAGAACTCGAGTCCCAAAACCGTGCGGTGACCCCGAATCCCCACCGACTCACCGCACCGTGTGGTCACCACACCGTTTGGGGGCCTCCGATTCTCCTCCCTCGACAACAGGAGAGCCCCGGGCCTCCGGACCCCCCTCCCTCCGCGGCAGTCCTCGCTGCCCTGCCCCAGCGGGCGCAGGCCCTCGAGGAGGCGCACGCCCAGCTCGTGGTCGCCGCCCGCGAGGGCCTGAGACGCCGCCTCGGCGCCGCAGCCCTCGGCCGGCTTCCCCGCAGACCACCGCATCCACTCGCCGTCGGGCGGGACGAAGTCCTCCACCCAGAGCGCCCCTCGCGTCGTGCACAGAGTCACGGCGGTGGGTTCGGGAAGGTAGCTTCGACCTCTGGGGGCCCCCGGTGGGCCCGGGGACCGTCAACAAGACTACTCAGGAGGAAGAGCCAGTCCCGAAGAATGGGTCGAGACCTCTGGGGGCCCACGTTGAAAATCACCCTTGCGAAGCACCCAATCATATGCAGTTGTTTCGGTGGAGCCCCCTACGGGGCCACGATCGTCGTGAGGGGTGTACCGAAATGGGTGCGTCGGAAGCAGGCGAGCGGCGCCCCTGGGGCCTTCTGTGGAGCTCCCTATGGGGCCACGATCGTCGTGAGGGGTGTGCCGACATGGGTGGGTCGGACGCAGGCGGTCGGCGCCACTGGGGCCTTCGGTGGAGTCTCCGATTGGGCCACGAAACGTGTGACGGGTGTGCCGAAATGGGTGGCGCAAACGCATGCGGACGCTGCCACTGAGGGCTTTCCGTGGAGCTCGCTGGGAGGTCGGTGGACATACGGAGAGCAGAGGCAAGGATGAGAGAAGGGAGGATGGGGGGAAGAAGAGGAGGAGGAGGAGGAGGAGGAGGAGGAGGAGGAGGAGGAGGAGAGGGGAGAAAGGAACGCGGGGCGCTGTCTCTTCAAAACGAGAACCCAACACCAAAGGCTTGTTGAGAGAAAGTCATGACTTCAGGTCGCTCACGGCCGACATACAAAACTGAAAGCTGGCCGAGCCGACGGCGAGAGCGAAACTGACCCGAGCCGAATCGAGCGAACGCTTCTAGCAAGGGCGCGGCAAACGGCGCAACACCCAGGCGAACCAGACCAGACCGACCGAACGCAATCGACTGCGACGCAGCCGAACCGATCGACGCCGTGGACGCCCTTGCTCCTGGACCTTCTTCCCGAAGGTGTGCCGGAGGCGGTGCGTGAAGCGGTGCAGGCAGAGCTCGTGAGAGACAGAGAGGACGGCCTGGAGAAGAGAAGCCAAAGAGGCACCAACGTCCTCATTCCTGGCCGAAGAAATAATCGCACGAAATCCGCGTCGAAATCGGGAGCGGAATTCTCCAGGGCAAGCTGGGCCCATCCCGTTGTTTTCCGTACAAAAAATCCGCTCTGCGACGTGGGCGCCATGTCGGGCGTGCCCCCCATACAGGGGGATTTCCGACGAAAAATAAAAACTACCCCAAACATTCTACAAGAAGGTCAAAACATACCCCCAAAAATAGTTCCCAGACTATGTTGGGTTATTTGTTGGCTATTTTGCAGAGCATTTTTTTTATTACTCGTCGAAAATCCCCCTGTAGGGGGACACGCCCGACATAATGTTGCCGACATAAATACACACAAATAACTGGATTCCCCATATTCTGCCATGTTGTCTGGTTTTTTTGTCTTCCCCTCCCAATTCCCATAGTTTTCCGCATTTTCCTGGGAGTGAGCGATTGATTGTGTCTGTGTGTTTTTTCCCCTCCTGATTTGCACGCACGAAATGGGTACTGAAAGAATGGGTACAATGCCCAACAGCGGATCTTGTTCCTTTTGAACAGGGCTCGCTGTCCACGCCGCCGCGGCCTGTGCCCATTCGAGACAGGAGGCCGCCTGCCCAACAGCGGCCGCTGCTTGTTTGGGACAACATTTGCTGTTGGGCATTGTACCCTTCTTCCGGTACCCATTTCGGGCGTCCAAACCTAGGAGGAGGAGGAGGAGGAGGAGGAGGAGGAGGAGGAGGAGGAGGAGGAGGAGGTGAGTTCCCCGCACAAAAGAAATCCGCTCTGCGACGCTGGCGCCACGAGAAACGCCGGCGCTCCGCGCGGGCTCCCCGGGGCGGCGCCGGGCGCCCCCCGCGGCGGCACCTCCCCGGCGCGGCGCCCCAGGGGGGGGGGGCCCAGCGCCGACCTGGGAAGTCCGAGGGGACGTCCGCACGTGGCCTTGGGCCGGGCAGGTCCTCCTGCGGGGGAACTCTGGGCGAAAACCAAAACAACAGCCAAGGAATATTCAAGAATAGCCCAGAAGAGTCCCCGAATCGCCCCCAGACGATTTGTGGACTATTTCTTTTGACTGCCCCTCTTATAAAGGCACAGGCCCGACTTAAGAGTGGTTAAAACAGGGCTAGGATCGGGATAAATCGCTCCAGAGCGTTCCGGAGCGCTCTCAGAGCGTTCCGGAACGCTCTGGAGCGGCCGCGGCGATTCTCAGAGATTCTCTGGAGCAAACCCGCCGATTCTCAGAGATTTCGAGTTATCCCGATCCGATTTTGTCCCGGTCTTCGCGTCGTTTTATGTAGAGGCACAGGCCCGACTTCAGAGAGTGGTCCTCGCGCTTCTGTGGGAACGCCGAGTGAAGAGCGGAGGGGCTGCTCCGGTCACGGCCCGCCCCGGCCACGACTGGGCTCTGACCGGCCTGGCCCCGAGGCACGGCCCGACGACCAGGGAGCCCCTCCCGAGCCCATTGCGATCCTGATTTCAGCGACTCGACTCTATGTATATGCAGTTGTTACTGATTCGTAGCATTTAGGAATCAGGTTACGAATCAGCCGTAACAACGTAAGGAATCAGGTAGGACAAGTTCTTACTGTATGTAACATAAGTAACATTATTCGTGTTGTTACTTACTTAGTGATGTTACCAATGTTGGTACTTCTGCTGCATGGTGTGTTACTTATGTTGCGACTTGTGGTATTGCCAATTGTTACGATTGTGTTGTCGTTGTTGTTGTTGGTGTTGCTGTTGTTGTTGTTGGTGGTGGTGTTGTTCTTGTTGTTGCTGTTGCTGTTGCTGTTGTTGTTGTTGTTGGTGTTGTTGTTGTTGTTGTTGTTGTTGTTGTTGTTATGTTATATGTTATTCGTATGAGTCGTATGATTCCCAACCCTCCTTGGTTGGGGTATTCGTTTTGGATAGAGCACTGCTCGCGCGCCCTCCCTCCCTTCCTCCCGCCTCCCACTTGTCTCCTCCTGCCTTGTGCGTACCTCTTGTGTGTGCATCTTGCCGGCGGTACCTCCTGTGGGTGCATCTTGCCTGGGGGGCTGGGATCTAAGCAACTGTCGCTACTTTCGGGGGCTGCTGTGGGGGACAGCATAGTGGATAGTCGCCACAGGTCCGAGTTAGACCTCGCCATCCCTGGGGGGGCTGCGATTTGCGAAACTGTCGCCACCTTCGAGGGCTGCTCGGGGGGCCAGCATAGTTGGTAGCCGCCGCAGATCCAAATTAGACCTCGCCATCCCTGGGGGGCTGCGATTTGCGAAACTGTCGCCAGCTTCGAGGGCTGCTTGGGGGGCCAGCATAGTGGGTAGCCGCCGCAGATCCAAATTAGACCTCGCCATCCCTGGAGGACTGCGATTTGCGGAACTGTCGCCAGCTTCGAGGGCTGCTTGGGGGGCCAGCATAGTGGGTAGCCGCCGCAGAACCAAATTAGACCTCGCCTTCCCTGGGGGGCTGCGATTTGCGAAACTGTCGCCAGCTTCGAGGGCTGCTTGGGGGGCCAGCATAGTGGGTAGCCGCCGCAGATCCAAATTAGACCTCGCCTTCCCTGGGGGGCTGCGATTTGCGAAACTGTCGCCAGCTTCGAGGGCTGCTGGGGGGGGCCAGAATAGTGGGTAGCCGCCGCAGATCCAAATTAGACCTCGCCGTCCCTGGGGGGGCTGCGATTTGCAAAACTGTCGCCACTTTCGAGGGCTGCTTGTGGGGCCAGTATAGTGGATAGCCGCTGCAGGTCCAAATTAGGCCTTGCCATCCCTGGGGGGCTGCGATGTGCGAAACCTTCGCCACCTTCGAGGGCTGCTTGGGGGGGCAGTATAGTGGGTGGTAGCCGCCGCAGGTCCAAATTAGACCTCGCCAGCCCTGGGGGGCTGCGTTTTGCGAAACCTTCGCCACTTTCCGCAGATCCAAATTAGACCTCGCCGTCCCTGGGGGGGCTGCGATTTGCCAAAACTGTCGCCACTTTCGAGGACTTCTTGGGGGGCCAGCATGGTGGGTAGCCGCCGCAGATCCGCATTAGACCTCGCCATCCCTGGGGGGGTGGGGACTGCGTTTGGCGAAACTGTCGCCAGCTTCGAGGGCTGCTTGGGGGGCCAGCATAGTGGGTAGCCGCCGCAGATCCAAATTGAACCTCGTCAGGGCTGCGATAGCGAAACCTTCGCCAATTTCGAGGGCTGCTTGGGGGGCCAGCGTAACGATTTGCGAAACTGTCACCACTTTCGAGGGCTGCTGGTGGGTCCAGCGGAGTGAGGCACCACGCAGATCTGAGGGGACCTCGCTGTCCCTGTGGGGCTGCGATCTGCGAAACCGTCGCCACCTTCAAGGGCTGCTGGCGGGTCCAGCGGAATGAGGCACAGCGCAGATCTGAACGGGACCTCGCCGTCCTTGGGGGGCTGCGATCTGCGAAACTTTCGAAGGCTGGTGGCGAGTCCAGCGGAATGAGGCACCACGCAAATCTGAGCGGGACCTCGAAATCGCTGGGGGGCTGCGAGCCTCGCGAATGCCGCTCGCAGAAATATACGCGGCCATGTCACGTCATCACCTCCGTGTAACGTCTCCCAAGCTACTCCAGGTTTCGTAATAAAAGGGAGGGGGTCTGGACCCTCCAAGACAAGCCATTTCAGACCTCCCCAGTGGGAGAACCCTCAAAAACATCGTCCCCAGACCCCCCAGGCCTTCCAAGATAGCCTGGAAGAGACCCCCCCCCGAAATGAGACCCCCCTCCCTTTATTACGAAATCTGGAGTACTCATGCCCCGCATTGCGCAGGGGTTGGGTACGTCGCCAGGGTGATTATTATTTGTCATCATAGTATTCGTATTCTCTCAGTATTAGGATTATTCTTCGTAGTCAGATTATCATTATTATTCTTATGACAATGAAAAAACTATTATTGATATGATTTGCCTTGTTGTTCTTGTTCGAGCCTCGGGAGTGGCATCCATGAACGACTGCAGCCACCTCGTCCGCACGACGAGGTCTGCGAGCCCTGCCTGCTCGGACTCGCACAGCGCCGCGGCGCCCGAGGAGAGCGCCGCGTCAACCTGCACGGCCTCCGTCAGCCTCAACTTCTCCTGCACGGCGGCAACAAGATGCGAACACATCGGATTGGGACAAGTCGGGGATCTCTGAGACTCGGCGGGCAAGGAGGATGTAGCGGGCGCCGCGACGGTTCCACAGCGCTCCGGAACGGCGCCCTGACACTATTCGTCCTCATCAGAAGGATGCCCGATCCTGTCCCCTTGGCCTGGCCATGCGTGAGCAGCTGATCGCGACGACGCGCGCATCCGGCGCCGCGCGGCGGATCACGGGCAGCACCAGCGCGACGGCCCTGGGGCTCCAGAACTGGGCCGGGTCCGGGAACATCACCCAGGCGTGGCCAGGCTCCTCCGACACCACTGCGGGCACGACCGCGTGCAGGAGCGCAAACTGCTGGGGCCGACCCTGGGCAGCCCACTGCTGGTCCCTGATCGGCACGGTGGGATGCGCTGCTCTCGCCTCGTCCAGGACCCGCCGCACGGTCTCGATCAGCTCCTCGGAGGCGGCGTACCAGCTCACGCGGATGGCCTGCGGGGCCTGCTCCTGAGCTCCGAGGGCCTGCAGCGCGGTCGCGAGCTGCGTCGCCTCGACCCTCAGGTCGATGACGGGGGTCAAGACCGCCACCACGCAGGCCTCCCCCTCTGGCTGCACCTTCGGCTTCGGCTCGGGGGGTCCCCCGGCGCAGGTGAGCTTATGAGCTTTCCAGTGCTCCGCCTGGTGTGCCCTCCCGCAGTACCACACTTTCAGGCACCTCCCACACTTGCTGGAGGCCTTCTCGGCGCAGACCGCGCACAGGTGCTCCACTGTGGGGCCAACGGAGGGCAGCTGATCGTCGAGCTGCACTTTGAGGCTCAGCCGCTTCAGCGCCGACCAGTACTCGTCGGCGCTGCCGATGTTGTTGTGCCCCACGCCCTCGATGAGCACCAGCTCCTTTTGGCGGGAGCTGCACGCGGCGTGGAGGCTCTCGCTGCCGTCGTACGGTACCACCTCGTCGGCCAGGCCGTGCATTACTAACAGTTCCCCGTCATAGGCCTTGATCTTCTCGAGCACGCTCAGGCACCAGAAGTCGGTGTCCGTGGGTTGCAGGATCTCCAGGTTGGCGTCTGCCAGCTCCTTGCGCCAGCATGCCAATGCAGCAGCCCTCTCCGGTGCACGCCCGAGTCGGTCGCCGGTGGCCGAAGTTGCCAGCGCAGAGTCCAGAGCCAACGCTCTGAAGAGCTTCGGGTACAGGGCCGCCAAGTGCACGGCAACCTGGGCGCCCAGCGATCGGCCCGAGAGCAGCAGGCCGCCTGGGTATGGCCACGGCAGGCTGGCCTGGACCAGGATCTCCGGCAGCTTCTCCGCGAGAGGCTCGGCGTCCTTCAATAGCGTCGCGAGCGATGGCTGGCCAGCGGACCAGCCGTAGCCCCGGTAGTCCACTACCAGCAGGTGCACAGGCAAGTCGCGGTACCTCTGGGCCAGGGCGCCGCTGCGGTAGTCCGCGGCGGTCTCGCCGCTGCCGTGGAAGTGCACGACGAGCGGCGCGTGCTGGTCCCGCCTGTTCAGCAAGAGCGTGTAGCCCACACGGACTCCAGAAGCCGCGACGTAGCTGCAATCGCGAGCCTCCATGCCCTCCACGACCTCCTGCGGCTCGGGCAGGCGCTCGGCCGCGCGCGGGTGGAAAAGGCCCTGGCCGAGAGAGTGGCTATCTAGCACCTTCAGCTCCGCCTGCTCCCAGGCGGCGACCAGCACCTTCATATCCTTGCTGCACGAGCCTCTGTCGCGCGCCTCCGACCTGGCGCAAGTCCTCGCGATCGCCAGGAAGGCCGCGGCCAGCGGCCCGGCCTGGCTGGAGCTACCGTAATTGCGCAGCGCCTCCTCCGCGTCCTGCAGAGCACCCGCATACCTGCCGAATCTCCATCTGAGCACCGCCCGGACGACCAAAAAGAGGCCGCTGGGCACCGACGTCTTGCGCTCCAGCACCTGCAGGGCCTGGTCCCACTGCTGCTTCCTGCCCAACTCCTCGACGCTTCTCATAAAGCCGCGGGTCTCGTCCTTCGACTCCAGAAGGGCCGCGCGCTTAGAGTCCTCCAGCTCCTTTTGTCGCCGGAGGTATGCTGGGCTGTCAGAGAACGTAAAAGGGCACTCCTCCTGCTTGGTGGTCAGAAGACCGCCCCTGGTGGTCGGGAGG